TCTACAGAGGGGTTGATTTCTCTACTTTTCACGTGCACCGTTCCAGATCTAATGAAGGGCCTCTTAAGGAAGGACCCCAAAAGCCTAATGCTAAGACACTGCAGCATTGTGACGTGAGCTGTGTGGCTGCTCACGCTGCAGCACCTCCGCATCGCCTGTTGGCGCCGCGGCCCTCGGTGGACAGAAGCACTTAGTAGTCACATCATGTCGTTAAGGAGGATTGTACGCTGCCTGCAAATGTTGCAGTGGCGGCAATTTATCCTGTCGTTAAGGATAACGGCACGCTGTCTGCGTAAGTTGCAGTAGCGGCAATTGCAAGAGTCTCATTATCTGTGGCAGAAGCACCATCAGCAGCAGCACACAAATGGCAGTTTGCTTGCGGTGCTTGTGAATGAGACTTTGTGCACGTCCAAGTGCGTGGCCCCGTCGAACGCTAATGTATAACTGTAGGGTTTTAGGAGCTCCACTGCAGCGCAATCGCATCAACAGAAGAGGCAGTGGGAAGATTAGGTGGAGACATGCAAGGGGGAGAACGTTAAGGCAGGAAAATGGTAGGGGGAAGAATAGTGCGCGCACTTGAGGGGGAAGACGTGCAATAAGAACGAGAAGAAGAGTACAAGCGGGCAATCCGTAAAAACGAGGCACAACAGGAGCGCTCAATGAAGCACGGGAGCCAAACTCGACTTCGGCGTCCCTACAGGGGGCAACCGCTCTTAATGAGGCAACGATACGAGAAAGCATGGGGGCTCAACAACGCTTTCAAGTACTAGCACATACCAAATACGGGGTGACACACATGAACAATCTGTCATGCTTGAGCAATGTGTGTGCGCAGACCACGGACATAAAGAGGCCGGTGGGTTGGCGAGGAGTGCCCCCAGAATAACGAACGTGCTTGGTGTCGACATAGGGCCGCGCCCCATGCATCACTTTCCCTTAGGCACTGCCTCGCCAATAATGACGCACGAAATGAGTCCATTGTAGACAAATTGAGGGGGCCTTTTCGTGTCATCCATGAGCTCGGGCTTACTTCGTCCCCTCTGTGGATAGTGTGTCGAGGGACCTATCCGTTCTTGGGTTACGCTCTAACCTTAGTCTTCTGAACTGCGTTTGAGAGCTTCAAGCCATACTGCACCTGTTAGGGTGGCTGTAGACTAGCTGGCTCGCATCCTCACTGGAACCTTTTTTTGTCGCAGCCCCTCTGTAGTGCGGATTGGCTGATATGACATAAATCAGAAGTCTTCAACTAAATATTGTTCGGGACACATACAGCAAAAATGCTAAATGCAAACGAGGTACCTACTGATAGACTGAATGGCCGAGAGGCACGGACTAGGCTGGATACACTCAACCTACGATCACTCAGTGAAGCCCCCGGTCAGACATGCGGAATGGAACAAATACTGTGACAATAGACAGCTAAGTTTAAGGTGGACGCCTCTAAGTTGGAGGCGTACAGCCAGATTTGAAGTGCAGGAGCCCACACAACCTAAGCCAAGTGGTATGCGCTTAATCTGGGACGAGCACTGAAAAGCAGCATAGCAGTCTTGCGGAGCAACTCCAGATAAAGGCAGAATACAAGAAACGCCGTAGGACTGTTACTTCTGAACGATTCACCAAACGCCAGTCTCAAAAGTATTCTACTGTTCAGTGTCTTCCGTTTAGCACCAACGCTAAGATCACAAGCTCACCTGCCACGCTCATCATTTTGGAATGATGTGCTTACATTGTAATAATTTGTGTGAATATGTACGCAAGCAACTCACTGAGCATTCTGGGAATCGCCTGCAGCGCAACAATGGTACATTGCGATGAGTCGGCGTTGCCTGTTTGCTACTGGCTTGAAAATTCATGCTTTCCTCAATCTAGTAATCATCCCTCTTCCCTTATCTGCAACCGTTAACAAGAGGAAAACAAATACCGGAAGTAATTAATCAAACGCTCTCATAGGAGAAGAAGCCGACTTTGGGTCTGCATTTGGTGCATGCATATACACCACGGGGTGCAGAGCCATGCTAGATTTTCTATAACCCCAGAGCCCCACTGGCAGATTTCTAGATTTTGCACGCTCTCTTGATATTCATCCCGCTACTTCTCTCATTGCTCCTTCTCTGGCACCCGCATGGGACCGTTTATCCTGGAGTGTGAAGTCAGCCGCTTCAGCTAGCGACCGAAAAATGTACTCGTTGTTTATAAACAACAAAAACGGCAGTTTGGTATTTCAGCGCGTGCGTGCATGAGCCTCCTTCACGGTCGCGCGCAGCTAGGCACAGCTGTTACTGATCCCGCCGTTGCCGTTGCAATACTCGTCCTGCTGTTGCTCTTCCTTCTATTGCTGCTGTATTTGTTGTTGCTGCAGCTTGTGTGGTTCTCTGCTCCTCTCGCTGCCTTTTGCGCGGTCACATTGGTACACTGGCATTCAGCTTTTGTCTCAGATTATTCTCTTGCTCAGGGATATATGTTGCGCTTCAGAACTTCAAAGAGGGGATAAGTGTGAAGGCTAACGACGCAATCCGGCAAGCCTCAACCTTTCACGGCTTGTCTGAGATAGCAGCGCAGCTGTCTCCTTTGTCTTGCTTTTCCTCAAGTGATTCATCGTCCATTCAGCCAAGGGGCATTTGTCTCATCGAGACCCCCCAGTTTAATGTGCAGTGTCTGGAGACACTAACAGGTGAGATACGTGAATGCTCTTACAGAGCCGTTTCTTCTGTGCGCGTCTCTTCTGATTCGTTCCTGTCCTTTGTTTGGTCTCCTCTGTATCTGGTTGACTATGTCGTGTCGCCTTGCCTGCTTTATATGTCTGTTAGTTCACCCTATGTTTGCTTGCCTGACTCCCATCTGTGTAGCCGCCCCTTCTTTGCGTCCGTCTCTCTTTTAGCTGCATCTCTCCGTCTATGCCTGCCTCTGTTTCTTTGCTTGCCGTTGTGCCGCTGGCAGCGGCTCAACGCCAGCATGGCTGCGCTCTGTCGCTGGCAGCACCTGTCACCCACAGCAAGGAGTAGAATGCCTGCAAACACAAACAACACACATATGGGGGCCCTTACGGGCCCCCACATGTGACTTTGCATAGGCAGCAGCAGTATACGAATTGCTGCACCAGCACCTGCATTTCAACGGAGTCTGCCTTTGGGTTCTTCAGGCCTGAGATTTGTGCTGGTGGCAGACCCCACGCTGTCTCGACAGTCGGTTGAGCAGTGCCTGCGTCGGGTATACGTGGCGTACGCGGACTACGGCCTGAAGAATCCCTTTTACGACATTGACATGCCCCTGAGGTGCCCCCTTTTCGAGCAAGAAATAAATAAAATATTTGCTGAGTACATTCGATCCTAAACGCAGCAGCAGCGGCGGTGGCAGCAGCGGGAAGCATCTGGGGACAAAACGGAAGCCAAGGAGCCGCAATAATACGCAAAGGGAGAAGCGCACAGCAGCAGGGGCTGAAGCTGTTGCAGCAGCAGGAACTGAAACCACTGCAGCAGCAGTGAGACCAACAAGCTCAGCAGCAAGAGGACGCGCTGCTGCTGCTGCAGCAGTAGGAATTGTGGGTGGAAGATGGGTGCGTCTATGGGCGTGTTGTCCGCGTATACGGTTTTGATATCTGGTTGTTTGTTTTTCCTCTACTGCGGCATTGTGTTTTATTTCAAAGCCGATACGTTCAGCCTGTCGACCGAGACGCAGCAGCAAGCAGCAGCAGCATGCTTCCTAGCGGCCGCTGTGTACTTGTCTATCCTAACTTTCCTCTTCATCACAAGATCAGACAGCAAACGAGTGCCGGAAGCCCTCAAGTGGAGGACCATCAAGCAAAAGGCGAGAGAGATCACCAATAGACTCATAGGCTCCCCCAGAGGGGGTCCATTGAGTGCTCTGGCTAGCCCCTCGCAGTCACGGAGGTCCCTTTCCAGCAGCAGGCAACAACTGGAGTTGCGCCCCCTTGTTGACACGCCCCCGAGAGAACGCTGGTGAGTTATGGTTGTATAGTCTGCCACGGAAGTGCCTGCTACTGCTGCCTTACGCAGCAAAGCACGGCGGCCACTGCTCCTTTGATATGCAAAGATGCTGCCGCTGGAGCAGCAACACCAATGCATATTCAGCCGTCGCTGCTGCAGCTAGTGAGATTTTCAACAGCAGTGGCGAGGCTGCAGCTGCCGTTTTCGAGAAAGCCTGTGACCCAAAGGATCAACACACACCGCCGCACTGCGCAGTTGCGGCCTGTGTTTGTTGCCCTGCGGCGAGAGGGCCCAAAAGCTCAAACCCAGTTGCACTGGTGCTGCCTAAATAATCTATATTTTGGGTTGTTAGTTCGCCCCCCATAATCCCCAGCGTCTGAGACAACGTCGACGCCCCACATGGGCGTGATGGCCTTGTGTGTCTGTCCTTTGGAGACACTCAGGTGGATGAAGTGTCTGCACACGTGCAGAAGCCCAATAGTCGCAGGATTTTTAGAGCTTTTGTGTCGGCGAGACAAACAGAGAGAATCCGCGTAGCCATTTCGCCGTGGGCTTCGTTTCTGCTTGCTGGGCGGAGGCTCACGCTGCAGACAGTCGGTGGTACAGCCGAAGGGGCAATGGGCAGATCACGCTCTGCGCCACATCCGATGTACTTCATATTAATTGAAAACAACTTTGTAAAATACTTGGAAGGAAGTGTGGGGTCTAGTTGCTGCCATGCAGCTGTAGCGACGCACCAGCTCTTGCAGGAGTCGCCCAGGAATGCCTACAGGGCCCTGCTGTCGATTGCCCCAAGACTTGCTAGCTATCGATGGGGGCATACTCTGTTGCTTGTAAATTTATATTCAATAAACATGTCATAGCAATTATTTTCTGTTTTTCTCCCTTTGTTGTTGCTGCTGCGTTGGGGAGGGGTCCTCCCCTCCCCCTTCTTCCGGCGTTCACTTCTGGCACAGGGATGCGAACCAGCGGCTGTATCTTCTTGCCCCCCGAGCGAAATCTAATTCTGTTTTTTTATCCACCTTTTTAAATCTAAGAGCATTAACCCGAACAAAGATGCGTATCCAACATCCGCAGCCCCCGCGGGAGTTCAATAGGAAAGCGGGGCCCCCCGACGTGGAGGGGGGCCCCGAACACGGCGACAAAGCGTGGGCTTCTGGCAGGCACCTGACATGCTTTGAGATACGAAGACGGTGCTCGCAGATAGCTGGCTGCCTCGGGGGGTCACTGCACGGGCTCTGCCGCGTACGTGTGCAGCTTTCCATGCCCACAGTCTTACTGCTGCAGCTGCTGCTGCTCTTGCTTCATTCCAGAGTCATTACAGCAGCAAATGCCTCTTTATCCGCTGCAGATGGGACAGAGAATCCTCGCTCTCTTTTCCCTGCCCTGCCTGCCAAGGAGGCTCTCGGCCCCCCACCTCTCGACTTCGTGATGATGACATCTGACGAGTGGGGCCCCCAGGGAGGACCCCCAGGGCCTCACGAGAGACCTCCCGGTCAAGAGACTCTATGGGAACTCAGTGACGAACCGGAGCGATCACAGCCAATCAAACCTCTGGAAGAACAAGCAGTGGGAGCTGATACCAGTGCCACTCGTCCCTCCAGTGGTGCTGCTGCCGAAGAGTCATTGCAGCAAGTGCAAGGGCCAGCGGCACCTCTGCTGCAGCCGCCGCAGCAGTCCCGGAAGACAGAGCAGCGGCAGAATGAGCAGATAGTCCTTCTGCAGCAGCAGGAGGCGCGGCAGCAGATTAACTCCGCTACTTCCTCCCATTCCCTATACGAACGAGAAAACCCCGGGCAGCAGCAGCAGAAGCAGCAGGAAAGGGAGGAAAAAGAAATGCAGCATGAGACTGAGCCTTTTGGGAAGGATGCGTGTGCTGCGGCTTCCTTCCATCTGCACAAGCAAGAGTGTTACGACCCGCTGAAGGCTGCCCTCGAGAGCGCAGCAGCGGAGTCCCTGCTGCCCTCCCTAAGGCGCTATTTGGGTCTGCACGCAGAGCCCCCACCTCTCATGCCTTTCTTCTTGGGTGGCCCACGACCCCCTGTCCCATTTCTGCTTCCCGTAGCCACAGACACAAAAGGTGAGCAATGCTGCTGCTTCTGCTGATGCTGCTCTCTGTGGAAGGAGCTCACACAGTCCTTCGTAAATTTCTGAAGTTGTGTCAAACAACTGTCTCGTGAAGGCTGCAACTTTCACACGCTAAGAAGGTAGATTTGCGAGGGCCAACCGTGCGCTGCTGCTGCTGCTGCTGCGCTGTTTGCTGCCGCTGGTGCAGGTGACCTCTTGTCCTCCGCCCTCAAGGGCGGTGTCATTCGGGTGGGGCTCGTCGGGATTCCCTTTCTGCCAGCCTCCGTGCGTTCGCTGCCTCCGCAGACGCAGCAGCTTCAGCAGGAACAGCGGAAGCAGCAGCATGCGCAGCAGCAGCTGAGACCTACAGGGATATCGTTTCGGGTGCTGGAGGCCGCTGTGTCGCTCTTGTCCATGAACTACTCTTCGCTTATTCCGGGGGGTGGGCCCCTACGGGTGCAGTACTTGGCTTACAGCAGCAGAGCTGCCCTATATGCTGCTTTGAAGAATGGGGGCATTCATCTTACAGAGCCTGCTCTGCCTTACTCTACTGTACAGACAGCTTGGGGGCCCTTCCCCTCACTCAAGCTACACGCAGCGCTAGCAGCTCCCCCACAGACCAGATCGACGGCACACACAAGCAGAAGCAACAGCAGCAACAGGCAGCAGCAGCAGGAACAGCCACACAATCCACAGATGCAACAGAACAGCAAGCAGGAGATGCAAGCCAAGCCTGGCGTGCTTGGCGGTGGAGACAGAGGGTATAAAGCGCGCTGGTTTTGGGGTTCTTGCGTGTTTCACTCGTTTGTGTCTGCGGGTGCCTCCTGGGGTGGGGTTCCTGTGTTGCTTAGCCTGCAAAAAGGTTTGGAAGTGCAGCGGGTGCATGACTTAGCTCTGCTGCTGATGGGGTTGGGGATAGAGAGGCCCCTGGTGCTCATTGAGGCATCCTTGCCCGAGCTGGCCGATATTGTTTCTGCTGTTCTGCCTAAAAGCACAGTGTACGGCCTGGTGGACATGACCAGGCTGGAGGGCCCCCTTCCAGACCCTACAAAGCCGGCCAGCAACATACGGTCCGGGTCCCAAGAGCCTTGTCCCAGGGCCTGCGTATCTCATCGAACGACCAGACTAGGCGCAGCTCATGCTGCTGATAAAGGGGGCTCTGAACGCAGCCACAATAAAGATAGGGCTCTCAACCCCAGGGGCTGCGGAAGAGGTCAGTCACCTCCCAGCCAATTGAGAGGCTCCAGGCTGCCAGGTGGAGTATTACTGCTGTCGCTGTCGGAGGCTTTAGGGACTCTGCACGAAGGAACTGCTGTCGCTTTGGTTCATACAACGCCTTTGGGCGAACTTTTGGGCGGCCTTTATATTGGGGCTCCTCATGGGTCTCAAGGAGGCGGAGGCCCACTCACGGTGGCGGGTGCCTTGCCGTGGTTGCTGGAAGCAGATGCTGATTTGGTGCTCCCTCTCGCTGCATTCTACAGGAAGCATGATGGTCCAGACTGCCTACTGCAGGACCCTAGGGAGGAATTTGCTGCTCTTTCTGCCGCTGCAGCAGAAGCAGCGGCAGAGACACGGAGGCTCTTCCTTATCCCTGATGACGAGCTTTGAATGGGAAACAGGAGCCTTTGTCTATGGGGCCGCCAGGGGCCTCTGTATTCTCCTGGGGCTATGCTGAGCAAAAGGTAATGCAGCCACTCTCTAACGCAGCAACAGCGGGGCAGCCACAGCAACAGCAGCAAAAAACATCCCCAATGTGGAGAGTGCTCAAAATGTAAACCCTCCTGGCGAAGGGACGCGCAGTGGGGGGCCACTCCTACGCCCGCAGACTCGTCCAGGGAGACTGCGAAGACGTCTCTTCTTCCTTGAAGAACGCTTACGAGGGTCCCCGCAGAGAGGGGGCGTCTCCTTGGGCCTTCTTCTTGTTATAAAAGCCGTGGTTGCTGCAAGCTTTGCAGCAACGAAACGTGCAGCAGCAGGTGCTGCTGCTGCACCTGTTGGTGCAGCAGTTTGTCAAAGGTGTATCTCTGCTTCCTATGCGGGGTCATATGTTGGGGTCCCTAAAGGGGGGCCGTTTAAGCGAAGGCGGGTTGGAGGGGCGCCCTAAAGGGGGGCCACCGCCGGTATCTGTGGTTTATGGGGGACCCTGCCAAACACACTGGGTCGCCTTGTGTGTTGCTAGAGGGGACGAGATGGTCTTTTTCTGAGGCCCTTCTGACTTGTTATATGTTTGGGGGTCCCTTGCTGGTGGGTTTCCCCTTGTGTTTGCGTCAAGGAGTCCCTTGCTGTAGGGCCCCGTCTCTTGCAGTGTTTGACCCACTGGGGTGCAGTCCAAAGAAAGGGGCCTTCTGCGAAATGAATGAGACAATTGCAATTTTTGTTGGGATAAGTGAAATATAGAACAAATATATGTGGAGGAAGAGGAGAAAAATATGGATGTAGAAAGCCTGAAACAGAAAGTACACACAGCTGCAGACAGTGGCACAGACACAGATGCACAGAGACATAGGCACAACCTGCACCGGAAGACAGTTGCACAGAGATATATTCACAGCCTGGCAATGGCTCAGTAAGAGAGGATAATCATAACCAAATATTTGACTCAAGGGAGTCGCAAAGAGGCAATGCCAGGAGCGGACAGGAACCGAGGTAGGCAGTGAGGAAGAGATACGGCGGCCAGAAGAGGGGCGCGCAGGATGGTGAAGAAACCAGTAGACAAAGATATGGACAGGGGCGGCCCAATGAGTGGAGGAAGGTAGAGAGGTGGGCACAGAGATATCTAAGGACGGACAAGGGAATGCTATGAGGCATGGATAATATAAAAAGAAAGAGCAGTGGCCCAATGCTGCGCAATGCAACACAAGATTATACACGCAGTAGGACCTTCGAACGTGGGTAGAGGCCCACATGGTCTACGTATATACAAAACTTCGGTAGTGCAGCTGCCGAATCCTTCGGTGCCTTCCTCAGTTAACTCATTGAGCTGAGCTCTGTAGGGCTTTTTAAGGAGGGCAGTAAACACCGTCGATTTAAGTCACCGTTGGATGAAGGCATCTCTGGAAGCCGCAAAACCAATGTGTATGGACGATCATGGCACAAAGAGTTATGCCATCTACAAAGAGGCAAGCCTGTACACAGAAAGACTCACAACCACCCTCCTCACATTCTCACGGCAGCAAGAACTCGGCACCAAACACGAGTGCGAACCTTATTCTTGCTTTTTGCCCTGAAGTGACCTTCAAAAAAACTAGCCGACGTGACCTTCAGCAAGTTTTCTCAGGGAAGAAGACACGTGGACTTAACAGTGTACAAAACCCAACTTGGTGGTTTGTCTGGCTGAGCACATGAAGGGCTGCCCATTACACGTTGTTCGGTTTTGCCCGAATGCCTAGATATATTTGCAAACAGAAGTTTTGCAAATTAAAACCCTTAGCCCTAAGGTATTAACTAACTAAGCCCAAGTGACCCTAGGCAGTTGCTGTTGAGGTCTTGAAACTTAGCTCCCTGAACCGTAGCCGTCAGGCATAGCACACATTGCATACAGATAGTCAAGTGAATTAGTGAGAAAGAGAAATATGAAGGGACTTTTTACAGGTGTTCTCTAATGCGGCAGCTTCCTATGAGGGGCCGCCATGGTAGCCGCCTTTACCCAAAGCAACTGGCGTTGGCCGTTTGTGAGGCCATTTGTGTGGCTCATATGAATTGCATTGTTCCTTTTTGTTTGGTTTAGACTGGAGATCTCATGTTTGAATTGCTTTTTACGAGGGACGATTCTAAACCAAGATCTCATCAAACCCCATTCTGTTCCTTTCTGTTGAGCCCTGGGGCCCCGCGGGGGCCCTCCTATATGTAGAATAGAAAACGCCGGCTGGACTGAGTTCACAGTGCATCGAGTTGACCTCTCCTTTTTTTGTCACGCTTGGACCCTCACGAACGGTGCCTTGTCAACTCTTCCCCGTCGGGCAGCGCAAACATCATACAGGCGTGCAATGGCGCCACCTGGTGAGCTGTGGGAACGGCAACAGGACACAGGAAAGCCACAGAGGGTGCTGCTTTCAAATTAAAAGGGACAGCAAAGGCACATAAACAAAATGCTTACCAGAGGAAACAAAACGAGCGACAATATTGCCACCTGCAGTTGCGGCGACGTCGGCGGCAGCAGTTCTTGCTGTTATTGTTGCCATGCCTGATTTTTTACAAATAGGATTAGAAGATGGAAAATTGCTTGGCAGTCCTTCTCTCAGCGCTCTGGCTCTCCAGGAAGAGATCGGCAAGCAATCCCTTGATCCCGAATTCCAGTTGCCAAACGCTAAATCTCAAGTCGTAAACCGCAGGCCCTGAGCAGCACACTCCTGACGCCGGGACAAAGCTATTAGCCTGTGTTTTTGTGGTGGGCGTAATGATATGTCTGCCTTCGCGTTCATGTGGTCAGATGTAAGGGAACAAATAAACAAGAAGCTAAAGGAGGCACTTGAGGAGAAGGCAAGAGAAACAGAAGCGACCAAATCCTTCTTTGTAGAGATGGAGGCCTTAATTGCGCTCCGTGATCCAGCCCGACAGCGCCAAGGACAGTAAGCTCAGCAAACCGTGCCTAAATAAAAACCTTTGGTCTGAGACGAGGGCCCTACATCAAAGGGACTCATAAGCGTGGGAGGGATATCACAAGTGGCTCGCAAGGTCCTTGGCTGCATCTGTATGCTAAGATAGGGTGTCGAGTCGCTGCCACTTGCGAAAAGGGATTCTATACAGGTGTTTCAAGAAGCCGAAATGGCATTTTGATGCCTTTCAACGAGCCGCGGGAGGCTCTTAAGAGGCAGGGGCCCCCAAAACATCGGGGGTGACCTCGTAGCTGGTACAGTACATGCAAAAGAGGGCCTTTGTGGGGTTGCAACTGTTTGGAGGCCTCGAAAGACTATGTTAGGGCTTCAGTGGCTCCTGCCAGCGCCCTTTTTCTTTCTGTACAGACACTGCAGCGGCCACAGGGCCCCCTGTTGTTAGTTGGTTAGGGCTGAGGGACCCTCGATGCACCATGTTTTCTTCCGTTAGTTGGCCACTGCCTCGTGTCTGTGTGGTGCTCCCTTCTGCCTCATTTCTTGGGTGCTGTTGAACCAATGACTACGTTTTGAACCTGCTTTTGCCTCTGTGTTTTCTCGTCTTTCTCTAGGGAGGCAGGAGGAGACAAAACATCTATTGTCGATAGAGTCTCTTGCGGTATCCACCATCTCTTCAACTCTTTCGAGCACTCACAGCAGCAGCTACAGTGCGCGTAAGTGCAAATGCAACAGTGCCACGTCGAGTTCAGGCAGCCGCCGCAGTAACTGCCAGCCAACGAGTCGTATGATTAGCTGGTTGTTATTGTGCTCTGGCTGCAGCTCCGAATGCATACAGCAGTTGCAGAAAGAGAAGCAGCAGCTGGAGAAGCAGCTAATGGACGCCAGAGTTGCTCTAAGGGAAGCGGAGGCGGAGAGACAGAAGCATGACGAGACGAAAAAACAGAGGGATGCCTTGACGGCCCAGACGGAGGTGCGGCTTTGTTTGATCTTTGTGTTCACATTTGGAGCTGCCCTCCAGGCTTGAGGCGGAGGGGTAGGGGTTCGGGGCTAAGGGCCTATGGTTGAGGGCTTACAATTTGTTAGCAGGCTCAGCAGCGGTCTCTGGAGCAACAAGCGTTGCTGATCGACGGGCTGAAGCAACGATGCTGCACTTTGGAGGCTGAGCGGTAAGTGTCGAAGACCAGCTGCTTTTGCCGCAGTAGCTGCTGGTTCTTCCGCAACATTTGCAAACGACGGCGCATTTTTAGCAGCGGGAGCACACAGCAGCCACAGGCTTGTTCCTCGCAGCGAGTCTGCGTGCTCTTTATCGTCGCTCTGCCTCTGCTCCGTCTGCTGCTTTGGTCAGAACTACTGCGACTCCTGTTTTTTCTGTTGGTGACGCTGCTTCTGCAGTCGAGACCTCGCATCAATGCAAAGCACAGTTGCAACAGGTACTTCCTCTTCCTTCCGGTCGTTGTTTGCTTCTTGGGGCGAAGGGATACAAGAGAGCCGACAGAGACGCGGCCCTGACGCAGAGACGGGGGACGTGATGGCTTACACTCTGGCTCAAGGACTTGAAGTCAGCGACTGCTAATGCTTGTCTGCGGCGGCTTTTGTGCTGGCTCTGAAGCAGGAGACAAAAGGAGCAGTAGCAGCAGTAGTAGCTACTGCTGCTGCTGCTCTCTTTGTCTGCTGCTTCTGATTTTGTCTGCTACCAGCCAGCATCATTGTCGCTTTAGCTGCCTACAGAACATGTATAAAATGCAGCTTTCTGCTCGTGAGAATTGCTGTTTTCAGGATGGCTTGAGGACCAGGCACCCGCCTGAGAGGAGGTGGTGCTGCTGCTTCAGAAGGCGCCGCTACAGCCGTTCGTACAGGTGCAACATACAGTAAGTACCGCGATAGGTAGCCTGACGGACCTTCAGGGGCCTCCACGGATATGCTGACAAGCAAGAAACTTCGAAGTCATGAAAGGGTCGCATATAACAAGAAAATGGGCTCTGAAGACAGCATCTGGCGTTATGTAGAGCGCGACAAGCAACATACTGGCGTCGAAGGGGCCCCCGGGGTCCCTTGTGCACGACGTACGGTATTTTGCAGTGGATGCCCAGAAACCCAGGAACAAGAAGACTGCATGAGGCTGTCTTACACTTTTTTGCTACCTTAGGGGGCCTTCTGCTAGTAACTGTCTCAAAGAGCCGCAGTCGGAGTGACGGCCAGCAGAGGCCCCGCCGTCTTTATGCTGCGACTCGCAGACGGAGGGTCCGTATTTGCAGCTTTACAGCGTTTTATGCGACCAGTTCCTCTTCGAAGCTTTGTCTCTTCGCATGCCTGTTCCGTCATTCTTAGTGCCCTAGGCTTCTTCGTGCGCGACTCAGTCTTTTTTCTGTACCTAGTACCTAGTGTGTTGCCTTTCACTTTGCTGGGTGTTCATGCCAGCGGCAGCACCCAGATTGCCACTACCTATTAAGAAGCCTTGTGAAAATGTGGTTCCAGTAGATAAGGGCTCAGCGCACAAACAGGACTCGGAACTGGAGATTAGGGGCAGCAGTGCTCAGCTGAAGTGGCGACAGTACTCCGCCGTCTTCCGTTTACGCCCTAGGTGATTTGTAAGGCACCTGCGTACCTAAGACATGCAGCAGGAAGCGAAACTTCAGGGAACGGGGTGGAAGGCTCTTCAGTGGAGCAGCAACAGAAGGTAGCTGCACTCTTTTGCCAGGCCCCATTGGCTTGTGGCCAGGAGGAAGTGTGGAAGTCCGTTCACCTGCATCAGTCTCGAATGCTTACAAGCATTATACGCTGCTGTAGATAATTTCGCGCTTGAATGTCCCTGGGGATTCTCAGTTGTTGTTAATTGGGGTGGGGTGGAGTTGATCTGCCTGGAATGCACCGGGAGCTGTTCTTAGGTTCCATGGGGTAGGCCATTGCTAGCTCAGAAGAGAGATGACAGTCTCAGGAGCACTAGAAAGGCAGACTGGGATGCCTGCTCGGGTGGCGCGTATCCACTTCACAGACAGAATAACGCCACCAGCGTCCTGCGACTACTGGTTTGGCTATTCTTCCATTCTCTTGCTGTGGTGTAGGTATGTCAACTGGCTATGCACTTACCAGTACTGAGTTGTTGGTCATGGTTTTGTGGGGTGGCGTGCATCCAATATGCATAGCAAAGCCGTCGTTGACGGTGAACCGTGTTTGGCGATGTATATATATTTCATCTGTTGGGGCTCACTTGGACACTAATTGCTGTATTCCTGGAAAAGTCGCAGCATGTACTTGTAAAAAATTGTGTGCATTCACCCAATAAGGAAAAAACGAATCTCATGCAACTCCAGGGCTCCAGTCGGCACTCAGTCCCATTCCTCCAGCAGCTCTAGCTGCTGCTGCTCCAGCCGCCGTTACTGCTACGGCTGCTTACTATGTAACCAAAAAATTCTGTCTTACTAATAAGAATAGATCTGAGCGAGGCTCTTGCACCGCACTTCTGCAGCTTCCCCCACTTGCTTGGCTCCGGCAGACCAGCAACAGCGGGAGGGATCGTTGCCGCAGTTGCTGTTGCTGTTACTGTTACTGTCTCCTTGCCGCCGCGGTAACTATCTTTTATGCCTATTTTTAAGGTCGCACCAAGGCTTAGTAAGTTCCATTGCTGTCCTTCTGCAGCAGCAGCACGACCCCTTCATGCTATCTGTGTCTCATCAGCTGCAGCAGCAGCAGCAGCAGAAGCAGCTAGGAGCCGCCATAGCAGGAGCCACAAGAAGCGTTAGGGGCTTTATTCAGGACTTGTGCATTATTGAGGTCTTTATATCATTACTCATTTGAAAATGGTAAGCGGGGTTGCCTTGTAGCGATCCTCAGCCTGTGAGGCCTGCCGCTAAGAGCACATGCGGCTTACAGCAACAGCGTCGGAGCAGTGTCAACAACAAGACGCCTTGTTTCCATATAGGGATCCCCTCAATGCACAAGAGGTGCTGGTGCCTGCGTGACTCAATAGGAACACGACAATCCTTGCGCTCCTTTCTGTGACGGTTGCTGTCCATGGTGTGTGTCTTCAGGATGAGTACAACGGAAGCGCTGTGGTGGCAATGGCAGGTGACCGCTGTGTGGGCATTGCTGCTGATCGTCGACTAGGAATAAATCGATTCAATACTATAAGCAATGAGTTCGACAAGTGCTTCAAAGTAAACCAACAGTGCTTTGTCGCCTTCCCAGGGCTAGCCACAGATGTGCAGACAATGTAAGTGCGCTTTGAAGAGGTAAACTGAAACCTGTGCACTTGTGTTTGCATGGTCTTGAACTGAAATAATTTGATTTCCGAAGGCACCTAGCTCCACGCAACTGTGCTTGTCTCGGTGCAAAAGGTGACAGAATGAAACAAGAATGCATTTAAATCGGGGAGGGGTAGACGCAAGTCAGCAAAGACGGAAGGCGACGAGCAAGTATCATGGAGCAGAAGCAAAGGATAGAGCCTCGACAAGCAACCAAAGATAGAAAGAAGCACCAAAACCCAGCCGAAGATGCTGCCGTAACGGTTGTGTTTGTTTCAGGCATAAGGAGTTGCGCTTCCGTTGCAATCTGCTGCTGCTGCGTGAAGACCTTCCCTGGATGACCCCCTCGCTTGTGTCGTCTTTGATATCGTCCATGTTGTATGAGCGTCGCTTTGCTCCTTTCTTCGTGTCTCCTGTTGTTGCCGGGTTAGAGAAGGACACGCATAAACCGTTTCTAGCAGGTTTCGACTGCATTGGGGCTGCCTGCAAAGCGGAGGACTTCATTGCCAACGGCACAGCCAAAGAACAGCTCGCAGGCATATGCGAGGCAATGTGGAGACCTAAAATGGTCAGCTTCACGTTGATCAGCTATGGTCATATTTTTGCCGGCTGTTTTCGATTTTGCCATGGGTTTTGTCTGCTGCTGTATTTGCATTCGCTTCTGCGTATCATGTGTGCTTGGTTTCCGTACAGCATGCCACCGTCTTCATTGTTTTCCCTTAGGAACACTCGCTGTTCTTCTTTGAAACTTCGTGCCTCGTGTCTTCACCTGGGTGATTCTGCTGTGGCTCTGTCTGCTCTTTTCTTTCCTTCTCTGTAACCTTCTTCTGGTGCGTGGTCTGTTTTGGTCCGATATGTATGTCTGTTTTGTCGCAGCTTGTCACTGTCACAGGCTACTTCACTCCTTCCTCTTCTGTTGCAATCTGTCTCTCTAACTGGTCGCTTCAGCCCATCTCTTCCCCCACCACTGCGTGAGCAGCGCATTGTAGTTCCTTTGCCTTCCTCGTCAATTTTACTCGCTGCATTTGTTTTCTACCTGTAGGGAGAGGAGGAGCTCTTGGAGACCCTTTCACAGTGCCTCCTTGCTGGTGTGGACAGGGATTGCGTGTCAGGCTGGGGTGGGGTCGTTCACGTTGTGTAAGTTGCTGCTGCTGCTTTTACTGCCGTTTTCACTGTTGCTGCAGCAGCCAGTGGTGCAGCTGGTGCTGTTGTAGCTGTACGCGTTTCCTGTTACTGGACCGGAGCGATTACACCACAAAGGATTTAAGTGGTATCACACGAAGCTGCTGCTGCGCTGCTGCTTTTGCAGGACTCCTGAGAAGATTATAACTCGCCTTCTGAAAGGCCGCATGGATTGATCTGTGGGTTGATCTATGTTTTGGCGTCGTTCCGCTTATCGGGTGCACGCAGTGGAACTATCATAGAAAGTCTGTAGGACGAGTTCTTTCAACTCGTCCGTGGCTGCTGTGGGCACCTGAGGGTCCTGGCACCGTGAACTATTCTTTCTTATCACGACTGTATGTTTACAAGTCCGTGGAATTAACACGCGCTGTAGGATTGTTAGTCCGCGGGGGGGAGCTGGAGTTCACGCTTGTGGGCTTCCCCCTTTCCCTTATAAGAACAGGCATTTGTACGCTGCACACTAGGCTTCGAAGTTGTATAAGCTCAGCTAAGGCCGTTTAGTTCCGGCTTAAAGTTGTCACTTACTCGGGTTGCATCACGTTCATCATTCCGCCTTGTGTCAGTTAAATTTGTCTTTTATCCTTTGAGAGCACGCATATTTGGCAGGTTGCGACTTACTGCTACTCTCGCTTTTTACCAGCGATTTAGCATGTTTGAAGCTTGAGCTTTGAGCCCAGGATTAGTTGCCTTGCTATGTCATGTGAGTCCTCGTCATCCACTTACAAAGTAGCCGCCGGCAGTGTGCGGCTGGCAGTTTTTGACTTTAGTTTTGATCTAATGCTTGGCAGTAGTAGACGATTCATGAATCAGTGACTTTGATTGATGAAGTTGTTGATGTATTTTTTCTGTATATAGGATGTTTGAGGAATAGTTAACAAACTTTACGATAACTACTTGCGGGATTTACGAGGTCATTGGTGAATTTAGAGGCAATTAAGCACAGATTGGCTGAAGCAGTGTGTACAAAAGTTCTAATTAGACTGACGGACATAAATTGAAGACGGAGGGCGGTCCGAATATTGTCAGAGCTGAGGTGGCTTCTCTTCAATTTGTGATGCTGGTGTCTAAATAGGGCTTTGATGATCTCCTAGTCGTCATTTCATGCAGCAAGAGCACTGAACACAAAAATTTTCAGTCGCATCATCCGGCAACAAAACTGCTGGCACGCCCTCTATGAGCATTCATACGCCTCTGGAAGCCTAAATTTTCTAATCTAATATGATGGACCTGACAGACACTCCCCAGAATCATATAATAAAGTCGAACATCTAGAAAGGCTGCTAGTAGTCTGAGGGCAGTATGCATGAGGCTCTGATGTTGTGCAGCTTATATCGTGCGTTTCCCCGTGATGAAGATCACCCACAATGAAGGGAATCTGGGCAGGGTAAGCAGTGTCAAGTTCTAAATTGCCTTGTAGTCCTATTTGCTTCTGCGCTGGTTTTTGAATGGTATACTCACCATGGCTGGCGTCAAGCGCTAAGCTCCTTGTGAAGAAGAGACCCTCTGGTCCCCTGCAGGCCTGTGCTCGTTTTGTGTATTGTGCAAAGTTCACTGTGGAAGTACCAAACGTGCAGATGAATCCCCAATCGGTTTGCAAGATGGCGCAGGTGCAATAAGATTAAGATCGCGCATCCGCAGTAAGATTAGGACGAAAACACACCCGCGAAATAATGTGCCTTTCTCACAAAATTATGAAGCACGGGTGCACATGGTGACGCCAGCGCATCTTGTTCGCGGATTTTTCTTGTCTGTTCATATGCAAAAAAATGCGGAATTATCAGCTTGTTTGCATAGTGTGTTGTTCCGTGCACATGTTGTCACCGAGGCAGTTTCTCGAAGAAACTGCCTCGCTGACAGCAATTTGCAAAATAGGCCCATTTTGTGCATTCAATGGACTTGCCATGGGGTGCTAGCGCCGAAACTCACCACTGATCCTGTAGCACGGAATAAACCAAGGGCTTTTTAATGCTATCTCTGCTGGTTCCCATTCTCTTCGCTACTCCTCTGGTACAGCCATAAAAGGCTTTGAAGCAATTTTGTGCTAGAGATACCAACCTAGACCACCGAGGCTGCTATACTACAAGTTGCTACACATTACTGGTTTGAGTTACCAGAGCAGCGTGCTAGCCTACACAAGCAAGAACGCCTTGTGAGCCGTGTTATGTTTCATTAGAGTGACTATGCCTTGAATTGGTCTAAAAGGCACCAAGTTTTCATTACGTAACGTAAGGCATAGCAATGTCACAAACTTCGGGCAGTACAGTTGGTAGGTCACACTGCGCTATCTCTAAACTGAACTGATGACTAGCATATCAGCTCGAATATTTCCGATTTGTGGGAGCTTAATTTCAACAGCTTTTTCCCCATAAATCCGTTCCAGTTTTGGTGCCCACGAGAGGGAACAAGAGGAAAGGGTAGACCAGCTCCGAACACTAACCCAGGGAAGCGAAATCGACACCGTCGTACAGTACATAGCACCATGAGGTACTGATTTGAGTATAAAATTCCTTTCTAGCGTATCTAAAATGTTCAAATATCCTTAGATAGTGCTACTCGTAAGCGATCATTTCAGTGGATTCGTACGGGGCCCTGTTCGGGTTCAATGTCTGTCTATTCAGGCAGAGCCATATCCCAGCCCAGACAAACGAAACGGTCCCATGCAGCCTAGAAATTCCTGAAGAAATAGAAGAATTATGCCATTCGTGGCATAGTGCTTGGGGGTCCGGCAGTGTGTGGTTCTCTCTTCGCGCGGAGCCAATTGCTCTGACCAGTCCGAGTCGAGGAAAAGAGTCCCTGTATGAAGACGGTTCCAGTTCTTTAGTGCCTCTGCGGGAAGCTTCTAATTGATAATGCATTTGTTTAGCGTCTCCGCAGCATGATTTCGACAGGTCTTACTGAGCAGAAACCAGGAACAGTCTACGGCATCGGGCGTGAAAGGCAATCGATCCTGCCAGCAGAACCATCTAAGACAGCTATACAGCGAAATATGAGGCTTAGGCTTAGCATGAGGGACGGGAAATTGCTCTTTTTCCTGAGCATTTTGTTTGTTGAATTTGCGAATGGCGCTGGGAAGTGCACACAATACTATCATAATACTGTCGGCTCTCCTGACTTCACTAAGCCGCTCCACCGGAGCGCTAGCCTATCCTCTTCGGATAACCAGAGCAGCTTGACTCTACCCAGGGCTAGATGGTTTCGGGAGCCAGAGAGGCGTCCACGGGCCGTCTTCGCACTTGGTGCCATAGCAGTGGTTCTGGCTGCAACGTTTCTGGTACTACGTTGTTTTCGAATGCTTAAGGGAAACTCAGGCTTTGCAACAATAACAAGGAACTTAAAGGGAGATTTGGAGATGGGCGGTGCCGACTGCACTGTGAGTTGCCTTTAGCTGATGATGGTATAGTCTCCCTTCTTTTACAGAAAAGCTGGCGGCAATCCTGTTTCCAGTATATTGCGACGACCAATCGACTTTATACCTCTATGCTGTCACTAAGAACTGAAAAGAGAATTTCACAAATTTGAGGGGCAGCAGTGTTCAAAGCGTCTGAGCGGTGTGGAGCTTCACGCCAAAACTCATTCCTTGGCAGAAATGCACCGACTAAGAGACGGTGTCTCATGCTTTTCCACGCTCGTGCTCAACCAGCAAACTCCCAGACAGTGAACAGAGAAGCGGATGCAGGTGGCGCATGACACATCAAATGTGGCCTCTGGTATTCTGGGTTTAGGGAGCCACTGCTTTGGCAAATGTACTCACATAGTACAATCGGTCAGGCAGCAAGCTTGTGAACAGGAGATTGTGAGGACGATTGATTTTAGGCAGTGAAATTCGCACTTTGATTGCGACTTCAAAGGAGAATAAAGCGAATGCTGTAGGGGATAGAATAAAACATGCGCGTTTGCTGGCGTCAATATATAGCGCTATCCTATTCGTTATGCCAATTGGCCTTGAGTAGTTGTGGAGCCGTGTAAAGAGAGCACGGATAAAAACTGAGGTGCAGCAGTGCTAATAGCGCCACGTCCAGTCAGTAGATAGCCCTGCACCTCGGCGACAATGCTCCGTAAAAAAGCACACGCTGTGTTCAATGGTTCCCGAAGCGCGAGGTCTGGTGCTGAATGAACTCGTGCGCTGCGGTGAGTCGGAAGAAGGAAAACGTGAATGGTGTTCGCGTCTCAAGACAGAAGTTGCTGTTAGTTAAAAAGTGCTGTTAGGTCTACCTGTTGGCATTGCTTTGGTCTCTTCTACTGAGGGAAGGAAGTGAATGGCTGATTAGCTCATCCTTAAAGATATGCTTCTCGTGCAAGTATCATGGGTGCGAGTTTCGTCAAAGGGCACTGAAAGGGAAATTTAGATGCTGATGATGCACAAATAAAACGAACACATTCAAAATTGATTGCCCTTTCGAAGCTCCGCACATTTGCAATTGGCGAGAACGTGGTGGTGAAATAATATCCCTGTATGCACAGGAGGTGGGCAAAACATCATTCAAATCGAATGAACTTCGCGTCAAGACAATTGGGTTTTCAACATGGGCTCACATTAGTAGATACGACGCCCTGGCAAGAACGTCAGCGTTACTACCAGGCATCCCTATTACGTGAAGGCATTCGGAGTAGTCCCACGACCCAGACTAAATATGACGTTATTCCCCCAAAGCATCGCACGAGAACATCAGCACCGCTTACCTGACCCAGCGTTTCACAATGAGAACGTCAAGTAGCGAAGTGGTTATAGGAGACAAGGGCAGGACAACAACGATGATACGCTGGAGTCACGCCGTTGCATTCAACTAAAAGCAACAGTCTCTGGATAGTAGCCTTTGCACGCTCACGCGCACGGGCCTTCTGCTCAAACATCTGCCAAAGGTCCTGTGGATGAAATGGAGACTGCAAGAAAAAAGCAGGTGGCAGCACAGGAACGAACAAGGTACTTGACAAAGTCCATGCAAGGCTTTGTACGCAGTACGGATGAATGGAGTGTGCCGACGGCTAACGTGGTTTTGGTGCATACGCGGTGTTGAGTGAGACGTGGGAGAGCACTTCAGGCGACGTGCGTAAAGGCAGCCGCGTGTGAATAGACGTGTTCGGCGTTTTGGGGAGACGGGAGTCTGTTTTTGCACGAATGAGTTGAAGATTGGAAAGGAAAAGCAGGTGGCAGTAGAGGAACGAACAAGGTACTTGG